ACTCCTTATAATATAAACACATCATCTAACAACGCCATCTAAATTATTAAAAATTTTGTATTAATAAATTTAAGAAAACTAAATTTTGCTAAAGTTTGAATTCATTACATTTTATAAGAAAAAAATGTTAATAAAAAAGAAGGTTAATTGTATATTAATATTTAATTGAATTTATAAAACTATATAAGAACCTTTTTGCAATATTCCAGTTTTTGACCGGTCGATATTGTAAACATTTATGAAAATTCAGTGTAATTTTATTACAAAAAAAAATTATGTAAAATTTCTTTTCATTAAGCAAGAACTTTCTTAAGTAGCATTTTCTTGATATATCGTATTTATAGGTACTATTATTATTAATTATTTAATTAATTATTGTCATATTTAATTAAAAATAGACCAGGGTCGATAATTTTTGATACAAAAAAAAAAATAGTAGGTTGAAACCCATTAGAAAAGAAAGAGAATCGAAAAAACAGCCTAACTTTCAATCGAAAAGTCTCGCATCAAAATATACATTATTATGGTAAATTTTCTCAGAAAATGCAATTAATAAAGTTAATATTTAATAAGACATCTACAATATTTTGAGAAACTTGTAGAATCTTCTAGTCACCAATTGTGTTTATGTAATTATTTTAGTTGAAATAAATATAAAACAATGCAAGATTTGTTTGTGAAAACAACTTTAATGCAATTAAAGTTGTTTTCACAAACAAATAAAATAAATAAAAGCGCGCTCAAATGTTCAAATGAGCGCTCATTCTGTGAGGACATTTTTTGTCGCTAATTGTGTATTTAGTGCTTTTTGATCCATGCTTATTAAGGTAAAAGTATTTAATTTTTTAATAACCTAATGGGTATATGATCAAACAAACCACTATAGACAGAACTCATAAAAATTGAAATTACGACTTAAAAAATACCATTATCAAGAAAATATAATAAAAATTATGTACAGATTTTACCTGTTTACGATTTACTTACAAGTTAAATTATGTTTGCTTCAGCGGTCCGCGCGAAACACGTCGTACGGTTATAAGCCTAATATTATCATATAAGTCAATGGTATAACAGTTTACTGATAAAAAAATTATACTAAAACGACTTTTAATTAAATTAGAACAATAAAACTTCACTTAATTGCAATATTTAATCGAAATGCGATTTTTGAACTCGTCTTTGTTAAGTTCAATGACATTTGTTAGTTGGTGTTTGCTACGCTAATGAAGGATATAGCAGATTCAATTTCCGCTCGAAGTAAAAATACGATACTGTAAACGATGAAAATCGTCGTCTATCGCTATTAGTCAATATTTTTTATTTCCCTGCTTTTTCACTACTAAGAGTTCGTCAACCACCGTTCTTGCCACCCTACATTTACTTTCTAATATAGGTTGCGTGGAACTGATCATAAGGCCGCATTTACACTAAATACTATATGTAGCGTTTATGTATTTTTTTACATTGTAATTTTTTTATATAATAAAGGACTTAATAAATAAATTAAATTTGTTTTTAATTTTTTTCATATCACATTATTTATCGATTTACCTTTTGAATGTTGGTATGTTCACGAAAAAATAACAAAAATAAATATTTATGAATAGCATTAGTAATTACGATGTTTATAACGTATTGTGTATCTAATTATGCCGTTTTAGAACTCTTCTGAGTACTGACGGAAAATTTTTTGGTGTGTCATGAAATTTGTGGAGACTGTATGTTTATTTGGGTATTAAACTGTTGACTGGCTAATATTTTTTATTATTAATTTTTAATGTTTAAATATACTTATATTGGAGGTGTTATTATAACATTAGAACTAAAAAAGCCTTTTATAATACAATAACAAATAGAAATGTATGTATGCATTCAGCCCTTTTTAACGCCCACTGCTGGGCATGGGCCTCCCTTCAATACGAGGGGGATCAGGCCATAGTCCACCACGCTGGCCAAGTGCGGGTTGGCGGACTTCACATGTCTTCCGAAAACTTCCTAGGTTTCCTCAGACGTGCAGGTTTCCTCACGATGTTTTCCTTCACCGTAAGGCAAGTGGTAATCATGTTAGAAATGATTCGCACATGAAAATATCAGATCTCGGAATTTGAACCCGCTTCACTCGGTTTCCCAAGCGAAAACGTCGTGAGAAAAATTGCACGTCTGAGAGAGCCTAGCAAGTTTTCGAAAGACGTGAAGTCCCGTACTTGGCCAGGGTGGTGGACTATGGTCTGATTCCCCTCGCATAGAACGGATCCCTGTGCTTAGCAGTGAGAAGTTAAAAAGGGCAGAATACAATTAAATTGCATGTTTAGTGAATATTGACGGTTATTAATTATTTCAGCACAGCTTAAATAAGGCTATACTATACATAAATGAGCGAAGGTGACTTTGACACTGATTGTGTTAAAGGGGATTTCCTCAGATTCCACCTTTTGAAACGAAAAAAGTTATCATTTTTTATCAAAACATTTTTTTCATGTTAAATAACAAATAATTTAAAATATGTATATATTTTTAAATTAAATTTAATAATAGGTAGGTACTCATTTATTATTAGAAAGCATTTTTTTTATTTAATGGCACTGGAAAAGTCATAGTAATATATTATTTTGATATTGAAGATATATCTATTTCTCCACATCCCATAGACTAAATAACAACTAGAAGGTCACATGCTATTATTTATATTATGCTGAGCTATATAACATTACGCTACGACTTATAAATTCAAATTATAATTCAAAATATTTTATTCGGCGTTAAATAATTACAATTTTTTACTGAATGTCACGAGTGAAAAAGTGAAGTTATCAATCATCATATGTACCTACATAAATAGTAAATACATTACGTGAGCGAAGCCGCGGGCAAACTCTAGTATATTATGGCTAAATTAAAAACGAGTAGTGGTTTCGTGACTACGATTAGCATTGTATTGTATCCGAGGTCACATGTTCAATTCCTGTGGTACACATATATAATATACTAGCGACTGTCCCTCGCTTCGCTAGTGTTCGTCCCTAGCTTGCTTCCCAATACAAACTTTCATCCCCATTTCACCCCCTTAAGGAATTATTTCCGAGATAAAAAGTATCCTACGTCCTTGTCAGGGTCTCAAACTATCTTCTTACCAAATTTCATCTAAATCGGTTCAGTAGATCCAGAGATTACCATTTATCCCCTACAACGTCATAAACTCACAATTCACAAACTCACAAACTTTACCTCTTTATAATATTAGTATAGATGTGCATATAATGAGCACCTCTTATAGTCCCTGTATGATTGTAAACATAGCCCATAGAAAAAATAGAAAGAGTCAAAGTTGTATAATTCATATACATATAATTTACCCCGCAAAGAATAGCGCGTGATAAGAAAAAATAAAAAAAAATACAAAGTAAATAAACGTCTGTTTATTTTTAATTGTCTTCTCCATTCCACGTGACATTTTCAAAGTAATCTGTGTTCAACTGGCACGCTTTGAAGCAAGAAAATTGAGTTGAATTGAATAAACTATTCATTTTCATGTCATCAATATTTTTTTGCGATCTTTGGGGTTCTTATAAAATTCAGTAACAAACCACTTTTAGATTTCCTCGAATTTTCCGTGGAAATATTGTTATCTTTTTCCCATAAAAACCTTATTCGAATTATTTATTGCGTACATTATAAATATGTATGTGAATATTATAATCTGTACTAATATTATAAGAGGTAAAGTTTGTGAGTTCGTGAGATTGTGAATTTGTGACGTTGTAGGGGGTAATCTCTGGATCTACTGAACCGATTTAGATGAAATTTCGTAGGAAGATAGTTTGAAACCCTGGATAACATAGCATACTTTTTATCCCGGAAATCATCCCTTAAGTAGGTGAAAATGGGGATAAAAGTTTGTATTAGGTAGCAAGCCATGGACGAACCCGAGCGAAGCGAGGTTGAGTCGATATTATATTATGAAGTGAAAAATAATAATTCTCAGGTACGTTTAGCATCGAACAGTATTTCAGTACATATTTCATTTTTATTTATATTTATTTACATTATTATCAATAATCTATGGATGTATGGATAAAAGTATATGAAAAAGTCTGTACATTACGTTGTATCTTACGAGTGCTACTTATTTAAAAAAAGAAATCACTAAAAAGTAAAAAATAACTGAGTGGTAGTTTTCATTTACTATACATACCTAATCAGATATATTCGAAGTTGGTGTGATTTGCTTGGTATCGGTTGACTCCGACTTCGAAAATATTTGATTAGGTTAAATGAAAACTACCAATTTGTTATTTTTTTACTTTTTTTTTTGAAGTCGGGTTTTTTAAGTTTTTATTTTTCCATGTATAGTATAGCCATAGTATTTAAAAAATTCAGTAAGTGAAAAATCAATCATCCCTTATCTTCTCTTAGGGTTCGTTTTTTTTCAAATCTCAAATGGAACCATATCGGAATAAATATATCTATATATAACAGAGTTATGCTCGAAAATACATAAAAAAATATATAAACATCCGAATTGACATTTTTTTTTAAGTCGGTTGAAAACAAAATGCAATTGCATATATTTAAATCACTCTAATCTCTAATCACATTCTACCCCATTTTAAATTCATTCACTATAATTTAATTAAAAAAAATATCAAAAGTTATATGTATATAATTATCTATAATATTTCTTTGATATATATTTTTTTATCTAAACAAAACTTGTTTATTATAATAAAACTTTTCATTATAAAGCGATTCACAACAAAATTTCAGTTTTATACCGCCGTAACGTAAACGTACAAAAAAAAATGATTATTAAACTCGAGGAACTTTACCGTGAGATAATATAATTATTTTTTGTTAAATTCGCAGGTAATGGAAACAAATTCCAAAACAAAATACGTGGATAAAATATAAATAAGTAACATATAAAATAATTTTAGACACAAAAACATATTTTGATAAAACTAACTTTAAAAGTATAGTGAAAATTAAAGAAAACTTACTTAAAACAGCGAATAAATACTGATTGATCCTCGTTCCATTCTGCCACATAAATTTCGATAATATTAAATTCATTTTGAACTGTTTAAATTCAAGCACATCTAACTTCGGCGTCCAGCCATACACTGTTGCGCCTTCTCACCGACTGTCGGTAGAAGACGAAAAAAAACGCTCGTTGATGAAACGCATTACGTTCTGAGTTTTAACCAAACAATACTTCTTGGCTATTCATTTGAACTACTTAATTGACTAAATCTAAACGGAAGTTAAGGTTTTTTTATAAAAAAAAATATTCTATACAATTTATTTAATAGCTTCAATGCGAGCTAGGTGAAAAATCTTTTAAGCGATTGAATACCTATATTGTTTAGTGATTGCTTTGAAAAAAATATATAGTGTTAAACAAAAAACACAGTAATTATGTTTTTTCATCATAATGTTTAATTATTTAGTCGTTTAATATTGTAAGAATATAATTAAATAATATAATAATATTATGTGGTTTTAGAAGTATATAGTTAAGTTAAAAATTCAATGTCATAACTTAGGCCCTTTTGGCACTGTCACAGGAATTATTTACAATTATATTGTTCTTTAATTGGCGTACGACCAAATTCAACTTAGGAAATGGTATATTTAAAGGAATGCGTTCTTGCCTTTTATTTGATACCTATGCAAAAGATCAGGAACACGTTTTCGCTTTTCCTTAATAATACAAGTGTTTTTAGAAAAAAAATTGACAACGTCAAAACAAAATTTATTGTGTGATGAAAATTTATATCAAAATATATACGAATATTACATTAAAACTTCGAGTACTTTTAAATAAAACTATCTTTTCGGATTTCAAAAATTCAAAAATTCAAAAAATGACAATATTTTTGTAAAATAGTGGGTAGGCACTGTCTGTAACAAGTATGTGTTTGAGATGTCTATAACCTTAGCCTCTCCTGTGACTAAGATTACTGTAAAAGATACTTTTATTTAAAATGTCAAAAATTCGCGTAAATCTAAGAAAAGAACTTTGAGTAATAGTATAAAAAAATAAATTAAAAGAAAACAAAATTGACAGTGCAATTACAAGACTGCCGCGACAATAGCGTTCCCAAGGAGAGTTGACGTCAGGCAGGCGGCCGTTCGTAAAACTTTTGCCAAATTCTATCAGCAGTACGGAAGATGTACTGCGCCGACCCCAAGTGATTGGGAAATGGGCAGGGAGAAGAAGAAAATAAGTGTTATTCCAGGTATCTGTGTATTACCCCCCCAACGTGCGTTCACCTTGTCGTGGTGGGGGGGCTCAGTAGTAGTAGTACGAAGCTAAGAAACGCACAGGGAGGTTGCCCACTTCGGTGGGCGGTGGGAGGTGGCCCTCTTCGGGGGGCGGTGTACCTTGCGGGTTGCTCCTGGTACTTCTCTGATAGCAGAGTGGACCTTGGAGCAACCCCAAGGTTGGTTCCCCGTGGTGGTCTGCTTTGGCAGACCTGCCGTCGGGGCGTCGTAGTTGAATGCGTAAGCGATCCTGCGACGCCCCATTAAGACGGGGGAAGGTTTTGTTGGGTTTTAGTGGGAAGTACTGGCTGTATTACGCCGGTGAGTCCCACACGTCGTGCGTAAATGCATTTCCCAACGTTAAAAAAAAAAAAAAAAGGTATCTGTGTATTAAATTTTATCAAAATCGGTTCAGCCGTTTCAGTGTGAAGGACTAACAAACATATACAAAACACGCATTCTTCGCACAATCTTTCGCATTAATAATAATAGTAGAAAGATTTTATATTTCTTTATAAAAAATATGTTCATGAATGTAACTTATAAATACATAAGCAATACACTTAAAGAAAGCTGTGAATATTCAGAGCTTTCTTTAAATATATGGCTTATTTTGTATAGATATTAATGTTGATACTTCAAAAATATTTTTGAAGTTATGCTTCTTCACGTTTGGAAAAAATTATGAGACCAAAATTTTTACGATTCGCGCGCATACCGACAGCTAAGAAGCGACATGATGAAGTTAGCTGAAAGCAACATGATGAAATTAGCTGCATTCCTTTTACAAACAGAGAGTTGTGGCGTACGGGGTGAAATCTTTAGCTATTTTTGTGCTGTTACGCCAAAGAAGTATAACTTCTTACGTGCCTACCTAAGTACACAAACACATTTTTTTAATATTCATTTTTCTTCATCCTATCTTCCTAGGATACCTTAACTAGTCTGATGAACTAGTCTTTAAGAAAAATTCTAAGCCTATACCTTTTTATTGATTGGTATGAATTACTAAAATTAAGAAATAAATTACGTCAACCGTAGATGTTTATATAATAAAACATTTCTTTCTAATATTACAAAAGCGAAAGTGTTTGTTTTGGTACTCTAGGTTTTTTGACGCAGAAATAAAATAACATGATTTTTGGAGAGATTTTTTATTAAAAAATGATTTTATTAAAAGCACAAACAGGTCTACCCCACGGGAACCGTTCATTTTTCCGGGATAAAAAGTAGCCTATTATTTGGCCGTCAATTTAAGGTAACAGCATGCCAAATTTTACTAAATTAGGTGCCTAAGTTGTATATTAAGCTGTATAAATTACTATAGTTTTTTAACTATCCCACGGGAACTCTTTAATTTTCCGGGATGAAAAGTATTTAAAATGTTGTACCGGGAATATAAGGTACCACCATGCAAAATTTCATTTAAATCACAGACAAAGAGACGGAGAAACAAAAAAATTGAAAAACAAACTAGAGTCGTTCTATTTGTCATCTCCCTGACTCGGTTATTAGCATTTTTCTTATGTACAGACATTCGATCTCTACAGTTTTATTATATGTATAGTATAGATAAGACAAAAAGTGAAGTACTAGGGCCTTACCTGACATTCTTATTTCAAGACTTGTTTTGTTTCAAGATTACAATAATCTTACGCTTATTCGTACCCATGACCTTTAAAAAGCAAGATGGTTATATAATTGCTTAGTAAACGTCGTTGCCCTCCTATAAAAGAAAAGAAATAGCTGTATATAAGTTGTATAGCGTTATCCCTGTCACACGATAGTCATTCGTAAATATGATTAGTACTCATCTCGGATATAATTTAAAAAACTATTATATTATATAATTTCAAAAGTATTTACCACAATTTTTTTCGCAATCTATAGATATGTCTTTTTAATACAATTTATACAAATACTTTTTTAAATTTACGCGAATATTTGACATTTTAAATAGAACTATCCCTTCGGATTATTTCGTGGATTTATTTTGATTCCTATTTGATTTGATTGATATTTGAGACCAAATAAAAAAAAAGTCCCTCCAGTGACCATGATTGCTGTAAAGCATTCGAAACGTCGGGAACCAAATATCAAAATAAATCCGCGGTATAACTTTTTTTAGTGTTAAAAATCGGAAAAAACTATTAAAAAAGAAAATAAAATAAATGATGGTTAGATTGTGACACAAAATTCGGAACAAATTATTTACTTGACAATCGCCTGTCTATTTGTTTACTTGTGCGAAGACGAGCGAAAATTAAGTTAAAAGTTTTTTTTGTGATGTTTTCGCCAACTTTGAAAATATTTTCGTAATTACTCTTGAATCTTTATCTCTTACGCTCTTCTACACTACATGCTGCACTTATAAATGAAGTTAAAACCTGACTGAAGTGATGGGCGGCTCTAGTAAAAGTTGCATTGGGTCATGCGGTAGATTTTCTTAAAATGATGCAAGTTTTGGAAATGCCGACCCTAGGTAATTTACATTAGGGTTCCGTAGCCAAAAGGCAAAAACGAAATTCTTATAATTTGTCCGTCCATAATCCATAGGTCACAGTAATATTACTCAGAGACTGAGACTGAGTTGGTATATCATGTCAATTGATAGACTGTTTAGTAAAATCATAACAAAAAAAGAATTCTCTTGCAGAAAAATTCGAGTCCACAAGAGTTGAGCATTTGTAGCTCCAAGCGCCGCTCTCATTTTAAGTTGCCTGAGTTAAGTCGTTACGTCTGTTACAAATAATAATTAACACTCGCGGAAAACCTTAATACTGAGCGAAGTTAGCCTCTAAAAATGGGTACATTATATCTTGTTATGTAATATTTTTGTAATTAACTATTTCTTATTACATTTGCGCATTGACTTGCGGTTAACTTCAAATAAATAATAATAAATAATAATTAGAAAAAGCAAGTCATTTTTGTACTTAAACTTCTTTGTAAAGTACTTATTTTAAACGAACGCTTAAACTTATTAACATAATGTATTTTATATTTGTTATTATATTACGGTATGAACCATTTAAAAAACCGGTAGCGATATTATTAGTACAGTAGCTACTTATGCACCTGTACAGTCTGTATGTAAACAAAACGCATTGATTAAAATACTTCGATACTGAGTCATGGGTTTGAAATGATATTTAAATATTATTATTGTTAAATAATGCCAGTGCTAATAAAGATGATGATAATGATTCTAAAACAGTTATATGGTAACTTGATCTTTTTCGTTTAAAAATCACTGCGTAACAGATTAGTAGCAGTATTTTACTATTTTTGAATGGGGTATAAATTAAAGAAATAAAAAACAAGTACGATGCACTTATAAAACAAAAAAAATACTAGATTTACATATTGTAGGGATAACAAAATTGTAATCTATACTAAAATTATATAAAATACAATAATTAATATACCTATAATTAATAAAATCTCAGAAATAACTAATCCTATTTGAAAAAATATTTTTCTTTAGGCTATATATCACCTATACATATAATAAAATTCTAACTAAGCCGAATCTGTACATTAAATATTATTGAAATAGACATTATTATCAACACAGATACCGAATCTATAGTTTTTTAAATTTTTTGTCTGTCTGTCTGTTACCGCATCACGGAAAAACCACTGGAGGGATTTTAATGAAATTTGCTATGATGTTAGCTGGTTATCCGGGTCTACATATAGGATACTTTTTACTGCGGGAGAATATCTCATATCTAATTTATTTTTTCGTTTCGGTTTAGTCATTCGTTACTCGATTTCCAATATCTTCTATAACAAGTGTTATC